GAGATACAGAATCCGAAGCAGGCTGCAGGCTCTCAGCTGTCAGCGCAGCAGGACTCGAACTCACTAACTCTTAGATCATGAACTAAGCCCACGTCAGACGCTTAACTGACTCAGCCACCCAGGCACCCCTCTTTCATCCTCCTAAAAAAAAAAAGTTTTGTACTTCAGTAGGTGGTATGCAATCATCCTCTCCCTCCCCCCATTTCGGTCAGAACTTCACACTGGAATTGATAGTGATGACTATCTTAGGCTAAGATGGTAAAGATTTTACAGATAAAGTAAGTAGCCTTGAGCTACTGAGCTGTGAAGCTTAACCATCAAGGGAACACTGATCTAACACCTTTGCAAACAAAGCCAATCTGTCATTTCATGCCTCCCTTGATCTTTGGTATAATTTTAAGTAACATGTATACAATGTCTTCAATTATGATAAACTACAAGGGATTGGCTACACATTATAAATTATAACACATTAATCTCATGAAATACTAGGCAGCCATTAAAAATGATGCTGTTGGGGCGCCTGGGTGGCGCAGTCGGTTAAGCGTCCGACTTCAGCCAGGTCACGATCTCGCGGTCCGTGAGTTCGAGCCCCGCGTCGGGCTCTGGGCTGATGGCTCAGAGCCTGGAGCCTGTTTCCGATTCTGTGTCTCCCTCTCTCTCTGCCCCTCCCCCGTTCATGCTCTGTCTCTCTCTGTCCCAAAAATAAATAAACGTTGAAAAAAAAAAAAAAAAAAAATTTAAAAATGATGCTGCGTCTAGGGTGCCTGGGTGGCTCAGTTAAGCGACCTACTGTTGGTTTCAGCTCAGGTCACTGTCGCTCTCCACTGCTGATACAGAGCCTGCTTGGGATTCTCTCTCTTCCTCTCTCTCTGCCCCTCCCACGTCTCTCTCTCTCTCTCTCAAAATAAATAAATAAACTTAAAAAAAAAAAAAGATGATGAGGGGTCCATCTGTTTATTGATACGAAAAGATGTTACAGGACTTCCTGAGAAACAGCTGACAACAAAACAGCCTGATAGTTATATATGTGAATCCTTACTTTTATAGGTAAAGAGTAAAAAGTACAGGATGGTGAATTCTTTTTTCCTTTTTGCTGGCCTATATTTTCTAATTTTTCTAAAGTGAACAAGGCTTGCTTATATACAAATAATTAAGTTAGTAAAATAAACTTAACCCCCCAAAATAACAAAATAAAATAAAATAAAACTTACCTAATATTCGTTCTAGTTCTTCACACCTCTTCACCTCACCAACAAATTTTCTTTGGAAGGAACTTACATTCTGGTTGAGCTGAGAAAAGGATGAAAAATTTGCTCTGAAAAATCTAAAATGTACAGGTAAATGTGATTTTAAGAATAAAATATGATGGGCAAGGCTTTAGGGAAAAGTACATCCTCACACACTAACTGGATGGGAGTGGGAACCAACACAGCTTTTCTGGAAAGCGGCTTGGCAACTGTTACCAAAAAAAGCCTGAAAAATACCCTTTGGCCCAGAAACATCCCATGAAGAAAATTAACCTAAGCAAAAACCTATGGATACCTACAAAAACTTACCAAGAAGAACGTCAACCTCAGGGATAGAAGAAAAAATTATTAACAATACAAAATTGGTCAAAGAGCTTATGGTCCACACGCAAACCTTAGCACACTGCTCGGCGATCAAGAGGAACACCCCACTGACGCACCAAACACCGCGATGACTCTCAGAAACAATGCGAGTGTGTCTTTCAAGAAGACGCTAAAGGCCACATACGGCACAATTCCCTTTCCATGAAATGTCCCGAAAAGGCAAATCTAGAGGCGGAAAGTAGACCAGTGACTGCCTGGGGCTGGAGGCAGGTCTGGGGATTAACTGTATGTAAGCACAAGCGACCTTACTGGGGGATATAATGTTCTACTAACGCTGGATCGTGGTGATGGACGCCTAAGTCAATTTCCTAAAAAAACAATGAAATGTACACTTGAAATGGGTGAATTCTATGATACAGATCAATAAAGGGCTATAAAAATTATGGTTCGTATAACTGATTATTATGCCCTTATTAAAACTTACGTTTTAGGGGCGCCCGGGTGGCTCAGTCGGTTAAGCGTCCGACGTCGGCTCAGGTCGAGATCTCACAGTTCGTGAGTTTGAGCCCCGCGTCGGGCTGTGTGCTGACAGCTCAGAGCCCTGAGCCTGCTTCGGATTCTGTGTCTCCCTCTCTCTCTGCCCCTTCCCCACTCGCACTCTGTATCTCTCAACATTAATAAATGTTAAATAAACGTTAAAAAAAGTTTTTCTTAATTATGTCTTAAATGACTGAGGTATTGGATTCTATTAAGAAATCATTATTGGGACACCTGGCTGGCTCAGTCGGAAGAGCGTATGACTCAACCTCGGGGTCGTGAGTTCGAGCCCCATGTTGGGTGCAGCGGTTACTTAAAACTTAAAAAAAAATAGAAACTATAGGGGCACCTGGGTGGCTCAGTCAGTGAGCATCCGACTTTGGCCTAGGTCATGATCTCACTGGTCCCATGTTCGAATGCCGCACTGGCCTCTGTGCTGACAGCTCAGAGCCTAGAGCCTGCTTCAGATTCTGTGTCTCCCTCTCTCTCTCTGCTCCTCCCCCACTTACACTCTGTCTCTTTCTCTCAAAAATAAACATTTAAAAAATAGAAATTATTACATAAAAATTTAAGTATAATAATGATATTGTGGTTATGATTTTATTCTTTTTACCGTTTATTTTTGAGACAGAAAGAGACAGACTGTAAGTGGGGGAGGGGCAGAGAGAGAGGGAGACACAGAATCCAAAGCAGGTTCCAAGCTCAGATCTGTCAGCACTGAGCCCAATATGGGGCTCGAACTCACAATCTGTGAGAGCATGACCTAAGCCAAAGTTAGACGCCTAACCAAATGAGCCACCCAGGAGTCCCTGTAGTTATGATTTTTAACTGTCCTTACTTTTTAGAGATAATTATGGAGATATTTATGAAAGAAATTATACACACGAGATTTGCTTCAGAATAATGTGGTCTGAGAGGGGAGGGACAGATTTTGTCTGGAGGTGGAAGGCTGCAATGAGGGGCCATGAATTTATGTTACAGGTCCACAGGAACTCACTGTTCCCACTCTTCCCTCTACTTAACTTCTAATACAAAGCTTAAAACAATAAAATACACACACATGTATATATACATACACATATATATATATATACATGTATATATATAGTGAAAGAAAATGTAATGAGGAAATCAGTTCTGATTTGTGTCTGGAAAAAATTAAAGATATGTTCAGTGTGGTTCCAATTATATGAAAATACGTTTATACATACACTTTAAAACATTATTAGAAAAATAACGTTAAACCAATATTAACGAAAAAGTTGGAGTGTTTATTTCTAGATAATAGGATCATAGAGGTTAGTATCTTATTCTTAGGTTTTCTAAATTTCCCACAATGGACATTTATTATTTTATAACAAAAAAAGGTTACAGTGATCACTCGTGTTGGAAGGCATTGAAGGCAAGAATTTTATCTTTCCTGCACCCCGTCACTTATGTTGGGCACTCTCAAAAACCACAATTAGACAAGAGCTTGCCATGAAACTGCCCAAACCGGGAAGAGTGACCCCAAAGGCTCAGTTCTCGTTCAGTTTTTCTAATTTTTTTAAAAGGATTAACCAGAAGTAAGATAAAAATTCCCATTTCACTTCTGCTTGTCACATTCACATTCATTTCTGGGATCACACTAATCTCAAGTAACCGCTTTCAAGTTCATCATGACTCAGGCACAATCCGCAGAGCCCAGAATGAAAAGGAAGCGATGCATCCCAAGCGGTCTACAGACGACGGCACTGTCCCATTTCAGGGCTTTTTTTCTTCAACATCAAACACTGGCGAACTCCACGTGGACATGGTGGTTCCACAAACAGTAGACTCTTTATGAGGAGGCCAATTTCTGCGGCAACAATACAAACGTATTTGGGTGTGACACACACCACCCCCACCGTCTCACAGATGTCACCTGGCTTTTTCTGCCGCGCGGTTTCTTTTACAGAATTTCGTTTCTGTTTTCTTTTCAGGGAGGCAATGTCACCCTACGTCTAGGCCAATGACAGGAAGCACAGTAGTGCCCCTTGTCCACAGTTTAGCCTTTCCAGGGTCTCAGACGCCCGCGGTCAACCCTGGTGGCGAAGCAGACAATCCCCCTTCTGGCACTTCCCCAGGTCAATAGCAGTGCCACATCACGGCCCAGTGCCTACATCATTCGCCTCGCTTCCTCTTGTCACGTGGACGTTTTATCGTCTCACATCATCGAAAGAAGAGGGGTGAGTACAGGACAAGAAGATAAACTGACAAGAGATGTAACTCACATATATCCTCGCAAACACATTCACATAATTGTTCTTACGGTACATTTTATAATCGTTCTATTGCTGTCAATCTCTGACAGTGCCTGAGCTATGAATTACAGTGGGCCACAGTACGTATGCACAGGAAGAGATACAATATGGACAACATTCAGTACGATCCGCGGTTCCGCGGTTTCGGATAGCAACCCACCTACTGGGGGTCTTGGAACGCATCTCCACAGATGGGGGGAACTATAGTGTATTTTAATGTAGACTCATTTCAAGACTAACCTTCAACCTATAATTTTTTTTAATTATTTACTTATTTATTTTAAATGTTTATTTTTGAGAGAGAGCAAGCAGGGTAGGGGGCAGAGAGAGGGGACAGAGGATCCAAAGCAGGCTCCGCGCTGATGGCGCAGAGCCCGATGTGGGGCTCGAACTCATTAACCGTGAGATCGTGACCCGAGCCGAAGTCAGAAGCTCAACGGACTGAGCCACCCAGGCTCCCTGAGGCTAACAACCTTCAACCCAGAAAAACCAGCAGAGGCTACCCGGTGCAGGTTTCCCTGATACGCACACTAGTCATCTTCCTACTCCAGCAGCTCAAGGACTACTGGGGAAAATTGTTCTTAGACTGCAGACTGTCAGAAGAGGGAGATGAACTTGCCCTTCACTGAGGCCCCTGGGCTAGGGGAATAACCTTCTTTTCCAAGTCTTCTCATGGGCTGTCACTACAGCAACCCTGCGCCTGCCTCCTTGCCCTCAGGAGTACTGAAAGGGGAAAATCATAGAGCCTATGCAAGCCAGAAAAGACTGATGTTAGTTATCCCAGCGAGTGAAGGCAAAGTCAGTGAGGAATTCCAGAAAGGGGCAAGAAATGTGTCAGATGTTACGGAGCTTTTACTCTAGGCACCCATGCTGTTTGACAGTCAACCCAAACACACACAGCTGAGCTCTTCATATGCACGTTTTTTTTCTCTGATTTTCAGATAAGGATCCCAATATACCCTACTACCTAACGTAATGGCGCTCAGTGAAACTTGAATCTTTGTAATTAGGGCCTTTGTTCAAACCTCTAAGATTTAAGCTTGATAATATCAGTCTCTCTCAACTTGAGCACTAACAGGAAGGAACAAATCTACCAGTTATACAGAAGGGAGCCAGTTTTGCTCCTGTTTCCTATATCCTTCCGGTGCTACTCACAGCTGATCACAGCCCCTACCAGGTAAGTGGGTACCATGAACTGAAGCCCAAGTGGCTCCAGGAAACAGGAAGAGATCTGGGCCTTCCCTGCAGCCTCGGCTGTCATTCAAGACTTTCTTCCTGACCTTGTAATTCCTCTGGAGCCGACCCAAGGGTCACTGATATCAGATCTCGGGTAGGGGTGTTCCCTTTTGAAATGAAGGGCCCCTCAGAGAGATGAAGGGAAACAACCAGAAGACGAAAGTTGTGGCCCGGGAAATAAAATGCTCCCCTGAAAGGACTTCCAGTTCAATCGCTAAGTATTAGATCCTGCTTAATACTCCCCTTCCACGCCTTGTTCTTTTCACAATCCCTGTCCACGGAGTGTGTTTATCTGTCTCCTCCGAGGCTATGCGCAATAAGAACACAAGGACCTTGTCCACCTTGCTCACCACTGAGTTGCTAGCACGAAAAACACTATCTGCAACAGAGCAAACGCTCAATAAAGGCTTGTTCCTTCATTCAACAAATGCCTATTAATGCCCACAAATGGCAGGGGCTGTGCTAAGTCTTGGGGAATCAGGAGTGAACAAGTCAGAAGAGGCCCCTGGCCCTGGGGGCTGACAATCCATGGTGTAAACAAATAATAAACAAGTAAACGTACATAAACAAGTGTCTATCCCTACCTGCTGGGAAGACAACTCCCACTCCTTATCAGGCAGCCGTATGCACATCATACACCAGTGAACAAAACCGACAGAAACCCCCTCCCCTCCACGTGCTCACACCAAGCTCATTCCCAATCCGGGGTCTGGGCTCCTTCGGTTCCCTCCGTCTGGGACCCTGTTCCCCCAGATCTTCCAGGACCAGCTCTTTCCCATTCAGACTTCATCCTGGCTTAAACGTCACCTCCTCAAAGAGGCCTTCCTTGACCACCCGACTGTAGTTACCTTCACAGCAAACATTTTGTTCACGTATTTGCTTAATATTTGTCCCCGCCACCCCCGTAAGTTCCAGAAGGACTCCAAAAGGCCTCACAGATTTTGCCCTCCCGTCTAGCGCTGTGCCTGGCACGGAGTCGGCGCTCCGGAGCATCTGATGGCACTACCCGAAGTGGATGAAGCCTACACAGAGCGTTCCTAACCAACCCGGCCAAAGCCGCCGCGGACCAGACGCCCGGACCCTGGGATCGGGCTCCGCTCTGCGGAAGCTCGGGCCGGTCAGCCGGGCCCCAGCTTCCCCGCCCGCGAAACGGAGATAGCGACGCGCCCCTGCCCAGGAGCCCGCGGAAGGGAGGCCTGAGCGAAAGAAAGGCGGGATGCGGAGCCGGGCGGGCAGGTGCGGCCCGCGTCTCCCGGGCGACACTCACGTCTCGGAACTGGACCAGGCCCTTCTCGCCCAGGGCGCTGAGGCACTCGTAGGCCGTGCCGGACTGCAGGAAGAGCTGCGCCAGGCACATGGTCTCGCTCCGGAACAGGGACCCCATGGCTGGCCAGCCCGCGCCCCGGCGGGGCCCGACGGGCGGCGACGGCTCCGGGCCGCTCGGGTCCGTGCGGTCAGCCGGGGCGACCGGGGCCTCGGGTTCCTCCTGCGGCCTGGCCGCCGCCGCGCACCATGGGGCTCCGAGCTGCAGCTGCCGCCCCCGGTCCTGCCACCGCGGCCCCGCTCCAGCCGCCGCCGCCACAGCGCGCGCGAGGCCCCGCCCCCCGGCCACAGCCGGTTCCGGTTCCGCCCTCCCGCGTGTGCCCGCCCCCCGCCGGCCGACCAATGGACGCCCGGAGTTACGGCCGCCGGCGACCGCGGCTGGGCCAACCCGCACAAATCCTGCGGCCGACGGACGCCTGCGGAGGCTCCCGGCAGAAAACGGCCCTTCGCTCAGCTCTTTAGAGCTTTGGAAAATGAGTTTCATTGAGTTTGTGCCGTAAAGCTCACCCATTTGAAGTATCCAATTCTGTGATTTTTAGTAAGGTTACAGAGTGGTTGTGCAGCCGTCATCACGATCCACTTTTAAAACATTTCCATCAACCCGAAAAGGATTCCACCTGCTCCGCGCAGTCAGTTCCCACTCCTTCCCTCCCCAGCTCCCGGCAATCGCGAAAGCCTAATCTCAGATCTGCCCTCTCGGGACATTTCAAACCAGCGGAACTACGCCGCATCGTGGGTTCGCGGCTGGCTCCTGCTGGGTTCGCGGCTGGCTCCTGCCGCGGGGCCGTTCTCTCGGGTCCCGCCCCCCGTGCAGATCAGAAAGCGGGGTCGGACGCCGGCACTGTCGCCTCCCCACCCCCGCACCGGCTCTGCGGATCCTCCCCACGGCAGCTACAGTGATCTCTGACACAGGACGAAAATCTGGTGCGGCCCAGTTTAAATTCTCTGGCTTTTGCCACTGCTTTCCAAATAAAATCCAAATTTCTTAGCATGGCCGGCAGGATCCCACAGGATCTGACCCCTCTATTCCCTCAAGCGCTCATCTCCATCGCCTAGCCCTGGTCTCCCTTTGCTCCGCCGCCCCTGCCTTCCGCTATCATCCCAGGTAGGTGCGCTTGAACTTGCTGATTCCTCCCTCTTCCTAGAACATCCCTCTCCTACACCCTCTCAAAGCTGGCTCCTCCGGGTCTAAGCTCAAATGTTCCAGCTTCTGAGGCTGTCCCCGACGCCTACTTAAGGTAATCTCCCACCCCACTCCACCCCGTCCTGTTTTATTTTCTTCATCACACCGACCACTGTCTGCAAGTGTCTTGTCTGTATTTACTAACAGTTTTCCCCCACTAGAATGTGAGCTCCACCGGACAAGGGACATTGCCTTGGTATCTCCAGCGTCCAGCATGTAGTAGCCACTCAGTGAGTATTTCTCAACTGCATCCGTGAATGTATAAACGTAAAAGTTAAAAACACATAGTAGGTCCCTCAGATGCCATTTTTCTGCCAAAGTGTGCTTTTTCCCTCTTAACTACAAAAGTCACCGTAACAAAGCCCACAAAATCAGGCTCGAGTATCTGTCGTTTGGAAATTTGTCATTAATTTTCCAGAGCTAATTCACTAACTGCCGGAGAAAGACTTTCTGAATCACTACAATTAATTCATCAGTGGGCATTTCCTTTTATTTGACAAAAGACAATTTTTTTTACACCTTCTATAGGATGTAATCACTTCAACCACGGAGATCCAAATCGAAGAAAAAGAGCAGCAGAAGGGAATCCAGTATTTCTCAATGAAATATAAAGAGTGAGTGGTGTTGGGGGAGAAATTTTTTATGTCATTAGTTACATGTTTAATATGAATTAGTAAAAAATAGAACTAGATTCACAGGTTTATATTGGAAAATGCAACAACACATTCGACGTGTCTGGGAAGTCAGGAGGCACGAGGAATTCAATCGGCGTGTGAAAGGGAAGACAATCACTTTTCAAAATTAGGTTTACGGACAGTATACAAAGTCCGTACGAAACATGACTACATTTATCTGGCCCACAAAGAAAACTCCTGAGATTTGCTGTGTGGCCACGATGGGGCTGTGGTTGAAGACATCCATTTCCCCCAGTGACCCCTGCTTCATGCCATTTGTCCCCCTGGAAGGAGCCACAGGAGGAATTTCTGTCAAGGCTCAACTAGGAAAAACTGTCCTTCATTGAAAACCAGCTTATTTTAAATCCATGCACCTATGATTCCTGTAGCTAATCATACTTGGTTTTTTGTAAACTAAAGACTAAATAAGGGGTCTACCTTAGCTATATGCAAGGTCTTTGGTGTGTATTTTCACAGGTTTACCTTTACTCCTGATTTTGTTTTACCCTCCTCTCGATATCACTTTCCTTCCCTCAGCCCCTCCCTCATCAATTTATTTTGTGTCTTTACACAAAATAATAGATTTTATAATATATACATTTTAAGGCTTTATGGATTTTTAATTCTTTCTTTAGAATAGAGGAAATTAATCAATTCAACAGAAATAAAAATTTAGAGAAAATACTAACTTTCTAAGGTAAGACTAATCTATTTGGACCAAAATTCCTCTGACTTTAGAAACCTGTGATACACTAAACCTTCTAATATTTATTTACCCAGCTGACCCTCTCATGCATTTTGCTCAGCCTGGTCCGGCGGTGAGAATGCACGCCTCTCCTGCATTGCTCTGCACATCTGGATAGTTACATGTGTGGATTCAATTCGCAGTGCACTTAAGAAAAATTTGCTATGAAAATAAAGCACCGCATTTATTATAATTTTACAGAGAGGTACACAGAAGTACAACAAATCACTGAAGTCTGTGGTCTGCAAGAAGTCAGATGGTAGCTGAAATTTCACACTTGGCATGTTTTGGCCCAGGGGCTACTGAGGAACACAGCTAACGTGAAAAACGATACCAATAGTAAGCCCTTGGCCATGCACTGAGAATAAGGCTCCCCTGCAAAAAAATGAATGAAATGAAGCAAAATTCTTACTTTTTAACTTTTTTGGTAATTATTTAGGTAGAAGTAAACCAAAACAATAATAGTGATAATTTCTGAGTGGTAACCTTACTGGTAATTTTTTTTTAACTTTTTTCTATGTGTTTTAAGTTTTCTGTGACACATTTTTTTTAATATTATGGGGGCACCTGGGTGGCCCAGTTGGTTAAGCGTCTGACCCTTGATTTCAGCTCAGGTCATGATCTCACAGTTCGTGAAGTCAAGCCCCGAATCGGGCTCTGCGCACCGACAGCGTAGAGCCGGCTCAGGATTCTCTCTCTCTCTCCCTCTCTCTCTTCCCCTCCCCCACATTACATAATGATAACCATTCCAGAAATCTGCTTTACCCTACCTTGATAATACCGGGTCACAGGATATAGAAGTTGTGGCCAACACACTTCATTTCTGTTACAGTCATACTCTGTAAAATTGATCTGGAATCTACAAAACATTTTAGAAGATTACAGTAGGTACAACAAAGCACGCTTTTGATGAGACGCATCAAAACCTGATGAAAGAAATAAACTTATTTTCCAGTATATATTTTTCTGCTTCCTAATAACATCAACTTAGGTTGCCAACCGGTTTACCTTGTTGGTGGACGGGGTAACTGTGCAGGTATCTTAATAAACTGGACGGATGCACTGACAGGGAAAAGGTCGGCCTTATCTTCACAAGTAAGCCCACACTGGAACTGCCAGTTCACCAGGGAGAGCCTGGGAGGAAAAGATTTGCAGGTAACACATCCACCAGTCGTTTCTGATCTGTTAAGGGCATCAAGTAACTGACAGCAACAATATAAATTGGGATTCTCTTTAAAAACGTTCAAATTCTAGTAATTTGTCCCCCTCTTTGGATGCTGTAAAATTTCTAATAGCACAGAGAGAGAGGAGCACCTCATAGGCCGATCACCCAGCTACAGTAATAAACAATATGAGAATAAGAACAACAGCTAACCATTTGGGAGGATTTTCCAAGTGCAAGGCGCAGTACGAAGGCGCCTTTATACGTGTCACGTGTCACGTGCACACGCACCGCGTCATTCTTAGCAGAGCACTACTGGGTGTGTCTGGTGGTTAACGTCTGCCGTTGCTGCCTATCCAGCATCCCCCCTTTGCTCTTGTTCCGGCACCCGCACCCAACTCCCCTTTGGGAGACGCCCTCCCCATCATGTACCCCAGTGGATTATTACTTTCACGGATTTCAACCGTGCTCAGCACAAAGCACCCGTTGCTCATCTCTGTCCCCCCAAGAGACCCCGCAGAATCCCTCACACACAGCTTCACAAATACTTGTGAGAACAAGTTACCATTACACACACAGTGGATACATATTCCATTTATACATATACTCCCGTGGCTAATATTTGCAATTTGTGAATACACGATCAGACTGTAAATTGGCATTTCTCTATTCTTCGGAGCACTCTCAACTTTACTGACTCTCTCCAAACGACACTTATCCAAGATGCAATCAAACCTTGTCTCTATGCCAAGTATCTCCTGCTGAGTAATCCCTTCCACTGCACCAGCATCTGAGCTGAGGATGCGGACGTTGAGCCGGGCAGGAATATCCGTACAGATGCCATTCACACTCACCGATGGGTCTGCCCCTGTGTCTGTGTCGGGGGCATCTGCGCCTACAGAGATGTCAAGTGGTGCATTTTGGAAAGAATAATTTAGTAACAGTTTTCCTACAATGTCATGATGCAGGGGGAGAAAACAGGAAATGTTATTAGATAGCAATCACATTACTGCATCTTTCACCTCTAATAACTGTGTTATCCATTAAGTTCAAAACTTTTCCTTGTAAAGTCAGTCACTGGAACCTTAAAGTCCCGGACCCACGGGGGCGCCTGGGTGGCTCAGTTGGTTAGATGTCTGACTCTTGATTTCGGCTCAAGGTCACGATCTCACAGTTTGTGAGATTGAGCCCCAACATCGGGCCCTATGCCGACAGTGCAGAGCTTGCTTGAGATTCTCTCTTTCCCTCTTTCTCTGTCTGTCTCTCTCTCTCAAATAATTTTTTAGTGAAAAAACTCAACTTAATAATAAAATCCTTGACCCACATAATAAAGCCATAAATCCTGATTCAGTTCCCAAGCTCCAAGCTCCCCCAGAGTTTTAGCAGAAATACCACACAATTGCAGTAAAATGCCACAAGACAAAGGGCATGCTGTCACTGCTCTCGTAAAAGCTGTGTACGACATTTGAAATGCAGCTAACAGCTTTAGTTAGTAGGGATTAAGTAGTTCGGAAGCAATTTCCTAATGTGTTGCCATAGAGTAACACACATGGAAGAGAATAGAACTAAAGAGGAAATTAACTTTCATTCATCTTGAAAACCAGCCCTCAGGGGAAAAGCGGCGAGGTGGATTACAGGAGGGGTGGCGGGTGGTGACACTGTGTTTTTATGACATCCAATTTCCTCCTCCTCGATGCGCGCATTCAACGTCACTTCTCTTCTGCTTATCAACCAGGACCAGGGTTGATTTGGGCTTACATGTGACAGAGAAGCTAACTGCTTCCACCTTGAAGGCAACAAAATGCCATCACCTCCGCTTTCTTACCTAACCACCTTGGGTTCTCGGTCTTGAAACCTGCCACACGTTCCGCTTCTCAGGTGCTTTCCTGACCCCCTCCCTCCATCCCCCGGAGAGTCCACAGCCCATCCAGCCGGCCTAGGTGGCAAAGCCCAGGAGTTGACAAGATTCTGTTTCCAAATGAGGATCCAACCCGGGGTCTAGTGGCTGGAGCATGGGGCGCGGCCCCATGGCCCCCGGGACCCCTCCCAAAGTCAGAGAGTGATACGGGCACGTCGAGCCCACAGACATGACATGATCCCTCACCGCCCACAGAGGGGAGGGGTCAGGGATCATAATGATCCAGACCGAATCACAACGGGTGAGAAGAGCACAGGCAAGTGTCTGGATGGTTCTTTGTGCGAATTCCAGCCCGCTGAGCCGAAGCGACCGAAGGTGGTAAGGTAAGGCGTGCAGGACGCAGAGAGCTGCTTACACCAGCCAGGCAGAGGGGAGGGGCACAGCCGCCCCCGCAGCGACAGGAGGGGACTTAGGAAAGCGGGTACTGCAGAGCCGGTTAGCTCTCTCTGGCCCCAAAAGGCAACCCGTTAATGAGAGCAACAGAAGAAGCTTTCTTTCTGTTCAGCATATTTATACACTTAAGACCCCCCACGACGTCAGAAAGACTTGCCGCCTGACTTGCCGGCTGCGGAGACAGCAAAGAGGCTGGAACCCCGGCTTTTGGTTCCAGTTCTGCCACCACAAACCGTGGCCTCGAGCTTCTGCACTGACAAGCAGAGCGAGCTGGAGCTCAGTGGCCAGACACACGTATTGGATTCACAGCTGAACTCGGGTGTGCCGTGGCAAGCTAGCGTGGCTCACCGCTGCTGCCTGTGCCACGCACCTCACCTCCTTGGCCGATGGATCCCCTGCTAGCCCTTCGCTGCAGACGCCCCGGCCCGAGTCTTCCTACCCGGCCTGGGTGGTCCCTGCTCTCCTGACCTGCTGCACATTAACTTCTTTCTTTTCTAACGGCTCTGTTGGGACACAATTCATATGCCACGCAACTCGCCCATTTAAAGTGTACAATTCAGTGGTTTTCAGTACACACACAGAGTTGTACAGCCATCGCCAAATTCCATTTGTAATGCCCCCAAAAGAAACCTTGTGCCCATTAGCAGTCACTCCTCGTTTCCTCCCAACCACCCCCGCCCCTGGCGACCACCAGTGTGTTTTCTGTCTCTACAGATCTGCCCATTCTGGGCATTTCATACACGTGGCATCAGACAGTTCGTGTTCGTTTGTGTCTGGCTTCTTTCACTCAGCATCACGTTCTCCATCACCTTATTTTCTTTTAGGTTAACAACATTGCTTTGATAAATTAAAAAGTCCGTTCTCATCTGCCTACGTCCCTGGCGGTCAAAAACAGCAATGCAAACTGAAATGCACTGAAAAGCTTCAGCACTCATTTAGACTTCCTTTTACAAAGACTTAGCTCATAAAACAACTGGGCAGTTTGAACTTCATGTGGATTTTCTCTTAAACAAAAATGGTGGGGCACCTGGGTGGTTCAGTTCGTTGGGCATCTGACTCTTGATTTCAGTTCAAGTCATGATCTCACAGTTTGTGGGTTCGAGCCCCATGTCAGGCTCTGCATTGAACACAAAGCCTGCTTGGGATTCTCTCTCTTCCTCTCTCTCTGCCCCTCCCCCACCAGCACACATGCTCGCTCGCACTCTCTCTCTCTCTCTCTCTCTCTCTCTCTCTCTCTTAAAATAAATACATAAACTTTAAAAAAAAAGGGGGGGGCATTGTTAATAAGAGGTAAAAGATGTGAAGAGCCTGCTGGCTGGAGAATTAACCTCTAAAAACAAACATCATTTGAGCCACAGCAAAGGAAGAGCTGCCTTGTGGGGCTCCCACACACGCAGGGCTAGCACTATGTAGTCATAGCAACAAGTTACATGCTGCACATCTATGCAGCTTTGACTTACGTATTATTTCGACCCAGCCATCGCTAGGATCGTTGTAGTTGGAGTTGCCTCTCATTGCAACATGAGTTGCTTGTACTAATGAATCAAGTAGTTCAACAGCATTCTCCCTGCAAAAGAGTAAGACATTTCTCGGCACATGACCGGTGGGTCTCATCCTGAAGTCCTTTCCAGGGAGTATCTGGGTTGTGCTTGCCGGGTGCCTAAATCAAAAGCTGCCCGAGGAACTGGCATTAAAAGCTGGCTGGGTGTCTTTCTTCTCTCTCTCTCTCTCTCTCTCTCTCTCTCTTTTTTTTAATGTTTATTTCTGAGAGAGACAAGAGAGCAAGCAGGAAAGAGACAGAGAGAGAGGGAGACACAGAATCTGAAGTAGGCTCCAGGCTCTGAGCTGTCAGCACAGAGTCGGACTCTGGGCTCGAACTCATGAACCGCAAGCTCATGACCCGAGCCAAAGCCAGACACTTAACTGACTGAGCCACCCGGGCACCTCGTGTCTTTGTTCTCTTTGGTGGACCTAAGCCACTTGGGGAGGAGGACATACAGAAGCAATCTTTCACTTTGGACTTCAAATGTTAGTAACTTATGTTGGTATCATGTAGTTTATAGACTCCATTGGGTGGTCACAAAAGTTGGGAGGTGGGTAGATCACATATCAAGTTACCAGGATAAATTTATGGGCCATAGTGATCCGATAGCAAAAAGAACCTTTTAAGTATCTAGCTAGATTTTTGAGCCACAAGATTAAGTGAAGATGAAGAATTAGAGGACGCCTGGGTGGCTGTCAGTTAAGCAACTGACTTTGGCTCAGGTCATGGTCTCAGGTGCATGAGTTCGAGTCTTGCTTCAGGTGAGCTCGAGCCCCATTTTGGGTGAACACGAGCCCCATCACAGGTGAGCCCCGCTTCTCTCTCTCTCCCTCTCTCTCTCTGTCCCTTGCTCACTTGTGCCCTCTCTCTCTCAAAAAATCGGGGCGCCTGGGTGGCTCAGTCAGTTGAGCGTCCGACTT